GGTTGAATTTCTATGACTTTTTGAAGTTTAAATCATTTTCTGGAATTTCCTGAATTAAAATAAATCCAGAAAATGATTTATTGCGTCAGCACTAGGTCATGCTGATGTCAGCAGGTCAACTAGGCGGGTCCAGGTCAAACCTGACCAGTGGGGTCCACTGGTCAGTGACTGGGGCTGGATAGTGCCAATGACAGGTGGGGCCGGGTCAACAGACACGTCAGCACGGTCAAAGCTGACGTGTGGGCCCACGGTGGTTAGGTTAAAACTTAACAGAAAATAATAAAGATTAAATAAGGGCATGGGGCCCATACATCAGTGGCTCTAGGGAGGGTTAGCTGGCCGTGATTAGCGCTAATCACGCGGCCACGTCGGCTAGTGACGCCGGCGACCACGGCGACGGCGAGACCTCGCCGGAGTTGCTCGGGACGGCGCTACAGCCCGCGGCTGGTCGCGCTGAGGGCACCAAGAGGGAGCCCGTGCTCCCGCGCATCTAGGGGCGCACGCAGCTGGGCACGGGGAGGCCGGGGTGGACGGCGGCGACCACTTAGGCGGCGGCCGGAGCTCGGGGGTTCGCGGGACCGGCGCTGCGGTGCACGGGAGGACGAGTGGTTAGGTGCTTTGGGTTCCTGGGAGCACGCTGAGGACGACAGCGTGCTCGGACGCGACACATGTGGGTTCTAGCCGCGACAGAGACATGGACGGCGGCAAGCAAGCTCCGGCTCCGGTGGGATCGAGGCTACAGGGCGCAATCGAGGCGGGGAAGAGAGAGAGGGGATGCGTAGGAGCTCACAGTGAGTTCGAAGAGCAGGTCGGCATGCTCGGGGAGACGGCGGAGAGGATGAATCGGACGGCGGCATCCGGCGGCCGTGGTCGGGGAAGAAGCGCCGCGACATCGTCTTGGGGCATCCGGGCTTCGGTGGGTCGACGTAGAGGGGCTTGGGGTCCGGGCTGAGCTCGGGTACGCAGAGAGGGAGCGAGGAAGTGGCTGTGGCCGTGGTGGTTGCGAGCGACGGCGATGAGCGCGCTCGGGCGCGAGAGGGGGAGAGCAGAGAAGGGAGAAGGGGGTCGGGAGAGAGTGAGAGAGAGGAGCGAGGGGGCTGCGTGGCGTCTCCCGAAGAGGCCAGGGCGAAGCGGCAAGCAGGAGGTGGCCGGGGCGGCGTCGGCGCTCGCCACCGAGCAGCTTCGGGGCGAGGGGGAGGAAGACGACAGAGAGGAGGAGGTGGGCTGGGCCGACCAGCTCAGATGGGCCGCCAGGTGGGCTAGAATACCAGGTAAGTTACAGGTGAGTGCTCTGTTTTATTTTTTGTTTGTTTTATTTTTTTTTAAATTTGTTTTGCCACTATTTTGAATTTAAAATAATTCAAACAATGCCAAAAACTCCTCTGAATATTTTTGTTTTGCTAGATGGACTTTTCCAAAAGCTCATAAAATATTTCAGGGGTATTTGAAATTATATTCTAATTATATGAATATAATTCAAATTCAAATAACTAATGATTTAAATTCAAAGTCCCAAAAATAAATCCTTCTAAAATGTTCATTATTTTGGTTGGGACCAGAACCCTTTCCAAAAATTATCAAACATTTAAGAAGACCATTTTGGAACAAAGAATGAGATTTTAGGGTTTTTGCCCTTCTTTTATTTAGGGTTTTGAGGCTTCCAAATTTCCCCAGTTCAAGTTTCAGAAATTTAAACATGATGCAAACGCTAGGCAGCACCAGAAGCTAGGGATGTGACACCAGGTCATGGCCACCATCGAGGCTTTTGACGCAAGGGCCAGTGTGCTTTCAGCCTTTGTCAGAGTCCCATCGGTGGCCATGACAGCGCCGAGGCTTTTGACACAGGGACCAACTTGCTTTCGACTTTTGCCAGTCTCTTAAAAGAGTCCCAAAGGTGGTCATGATGGTCAAGGCCACCAATGGGACTCTTATGAGAGACCGAGCTAGCAAATCTAGAGATTGATGAAGTCATCACCGTTGCCTCATAGTCGACGGGACGCTTCTGATCTGAATAAGGTTATCGGGTGTCGAACTCCTCAAGTTGGCCGATGAACGGGCGCATCCACTGCCTCACAATGATGTTCTGTTTTGCTGATGCGTGTGGTGTATTCGAGACCGATCCTAGCCTCCATTGTCCTCTGGTGCCTTCAGACATATCCCTTGCCTCAATTCTCTCTCAACTGCGACCCCTGATTGTTTTGGTTGTGGTTCCTTTGGGCTCATCGACTTATCCCCCACTTTTTTGTTGGGGAAATGCCATTATAGCTTGCTTTATTTCATCTAAAAATAGATACATCAACCACAATAAGACTATGAATGGAAGAGGGAGCGTTCTTCATGCACACATCTGGATGTTCAACCCTAGTCCTACTAGCTAGTCCACGAGCCACGCGATTCGTCTCTGGTGCACAATGCTCAAACATAACATGGCCAACATTATTACAAATGTCAAAGCAATCATCAAGAACAGAACTGAATAGTTATGAAAGTAGCTTTGATGGAAATGTCTCTAGGATTGAGGAGAAGAGTTGCTAGTTTATTACCATCATCCAAAAAAGATCTAGAGAAAAGCCAATTAAATTCAAAGAAGATGGGCGCCAAATCCCGCAAAGGAAAAGAAAACCGAGGAGCAAAAATCGGGGTGTTACAAATGCATGACTTGCACAATTTCCTAAATGTTCTGCATAGATCTCCTACTTGGAACGCTTTCTGCCTGCCAAGCTCCACATTGTAACTATGTTGCCTATGGCCATGGATACAACGTGTGCTACACCTTGCATATGACACCTATCCTAAATGGACCAAATGTGGGAAGACAATTCAACTTCCACAAGGTAACAAGAACTCTCACTTTGCAATGTGCTAAGAATCCATGAGAAATTATGTCAACAACTTTTGGGGTGCTTCAAGCTTGCTTCGCGATTTTTCGTGTCCTTTTTGAGTATTAGAATCCAAAGATACTATGACTGGTCATTGACAACATGTGTCATCTCGCGCAACATAATCAGTAAAGACGAGAGAGGCTAACCGGAGGGATTTAACTTTGACTACAATGCTGCATATGTGGAGCTGGAACATCAATCAAACATGATCCGAAGATTCCGTGCTGCACATTGCAGAATCGAGAATCGAGAAGCTCATCACCAACTCCAAGATGATCTTGTTGAGCACTCGTGGCAAATTTGTAGTTCTTGATTCTTTTTTCAAAAAAGGTTTTCCCCGCTTTGTGTTACAAAGCAACCAACACCGATACAACCAACGATAGGTGCTGGGGCGAAAGCAGCACAATCACGCCCAAAAGGAACGAAAGAGAAAATACAAAAGAAACAAATGCCGGCAACGGCGGATCAACAAAAACGAAGAAGCCTCGCGACCGCTGCGCCCACCAGAGATTTCTCACCAAGCTCCTAGACTCCGAAGCGCCGGTACCAATCAACACCTCCAAGAAGGGACACGGCGATGATGACGCTGCTGCCAAGGGTTTCCCCTGGTACGTGACGAGGAGAAAGGAAGGGTAGCCCCCGAGGCCCTCCAGGAAGGTCCGTCGGCACCCTCAAGCGCCACCGTGTCGGATTTGGCCAAGCCGACAGGGATTTCTCCCGATCCCAACCTTCACATCGAGCGCTCCGGAGCTCGCCACCAAACCGTCCACCACCCTGCGCCAACACAGTCTTGAAGCTTCCCATGCCGTCTCACCACGACACTGCGAAGTGGGGCCTGCACAACAAATAAGAGGAGCCGGGACTAGGGGCAGCAGCACCCGTCGTCAGGCGGGAGGGCCGAACCTCCACCGTCAACGACGGTAGCCAACCAGACGCAATAGCAGGAGCATACTAGGCCCGTGGGCCCACAGGCCCGGCCGAGGCTCAGATGCCTGTAAAGTTTCTGCCTTCGCGCTGCAGAAAGCACGCCGTCGGCGCCGCCGCCCCGGTCAGTTATTACTTAATGCTTACGTTGTATTTGAATTTGAATATTTAAATTAAAAAACACAGAATTAAAAATGTTGATGAAATATGTGCATTAGAAATATCAAGTTTTGAATTAATACGGTTGAGCAAATATAGTTGAACTTGGGTTTGTATGCAGAAAAGGAGGAAGAAATAGCAAAGAAAAGAAAAGAAAATGTAGGGAATTAAGTTTTAGGCGAAGGGACAGGTGAAGATAATTTAGACCCTCAAAATTTTAATAATTGCGGGGTGAAAACCTATTTCGAGAGAGAAATTTAAAAAGTTTAGTTTTGGAAGGAGGTTCTAGAAATTAAGTTTTATGAAAGGGCTAGAAATGCTTAAGCTGTCCACCGCCGGGGCGGCGGCGGCGACGCGGATCCTCCGGCTGGATCCCACGGACCCTCACCGCGGAACTCTTCCCCGTGGGACGCGACGGCCGGCCTGCTACGGCTGCTCCTCCTCTCTCCATACCCCAGCCAATCTCCTCGTGCCGCCTGCTGCCTTCCGCGGGTTAGCACTCTCCGCCTCTCGCCATTGCCGGGGCTACAGTAGTACTCCGTAGAACGAAACGGTGCGGAGCTCGGAATTTTTGGAAGTTCGTTCCTCCATCCAGCAAATAACACAAAATCCGTATCTTTTCCTGACCGCGTCTTGTTTTCTAATCCAGGAAATCAAATTCCGGCGATATCCGTCCCGATCCCGGGTCGGATCTGCTTCACCTACGAGCGAGGAGGCATCGGTCGGCGTTCTATAAGTAGGGAGTATCATACAGGAGCCTACCTGCGTGCCCTCTGTCGCTCCGTGTCTCGTATTCCTGCATCTACGAGAGAGATCATCAAGCACAGGGGAGAGGGAGATTGGGGAAACATACAGCCGGAGCTCTGCTTCATCATGTCGCCATCTGGAATTCCCCTCGTTGGTAGCAGCATTTTGGCCTTGTCGGGTGTGCTGACAACGTATGGACAGAGGCTTGCCGAATTCATCGCCGCCCATCGTCTGTTACCCAGCGAACCCCAGATGTATTCCTCGCCGGAGCTGCCGGAGGACATCCTGATGTGCATATTCGCCAGCCTTGAGACCCCCGACCTCGTCCGGGTAGGCTCCGTCTGCTCATCATGGCGTTCCGCCTGCTCCAGGCTCTGCAATCTTGGGCTTTTCAGGCAGACACAGACACCGTGCCTCCTATACACCTCTGAATCTGCCGGTGAGAGTGTTGCAGGCCTCTTCAGCATCGTGGAGAACAAATCCTACACATTAGCTCTTCCAGACCCACCTATTCGCACTAGGTATGTGATCGGCTCCAACCATGGCTGGATCATCACCGCCGACGATAGGTCCGAGCTGCACCTCCTCAACCCCATCACCGGTGACCAGATCGCCCTGCCTTCCGTCACCACCATTGAGCAGGTGAAGCCCATCTTTGATGATGCCGGTGCTCTTCACAAGTATCAGTACTCATGGTACACCGGCACTCCACTCTTAGTCGACTACGACTTCCCTACGCCCTCGGTCTTTTCGCTTGGCGAGCTGCGGGACTACCTCTTCGGGAAGGCATTTTTGTCATCTGATCCATCCACTGGAGATTATTATGTGGTACTTAAGCATAATCCAGAGTCACAACTTTCATTTGCAAGAGCAGGGGATGATAGATGGACTTGGTTGCCACCACATGTTGATTATGCAGATTGTCTCTTTAAGGATGGCCTGCTCTTTGCATTGGATTCACACGGAGAAGTCCGTACGTTTGATCTCAGTGCATCTGTAGTAACAAAAAATATCGTTCTGGGGAGAATGAAGTCTAGGATCATGGAGTGCAACTATATGTACATTGCTCAAGCTCCATGCGGTGATTTGTTGCAAGTTTGGAGGTCAAGAAACTCTTTGGGTTGGGAAGATGAGGATGTTTCAGAACAGGGGCTTGAGGGTGGGGAGGATGAGCACATTTCAGAACACAAGCTTGAGGATGCGACGGATGTGTCGGGGCTGGAACCTGAGGATAGGGAGGATGACGATGTTTCGGAACCTGAGCAAGGCTCTGATTCTCATGTGATCTTCACTGACAAGTTTGACGTATTTAAAGTGGATCTTGCTGCAACAAAGCTTGAAGACATTACGAGCTCATGTGACAGTGTGATGTTTTTTGGGCATAATCAATCACTTTGTTTGAGTGCCGATGAATATCCACAGTTAAAGTCCAATCATGTCTATTTTACTGATGATGATGGCTATTATCATTTTGGAAGCATGAAGAGTGAGCGTGATATTGGAGTCCTCAACCTTGGAAACTGCACTGTTGAAAGAATTGTATCACCTCAGCTTTGGTCCAACTGGCCAGCCCCTGTGTGGTTTATACCAAATCCCCGGAAGATAAATTTGGCATCACACGATTAGCCACAAGATGCTTCATTTATACTGATATATCAATCTTTGTACCTCGCTGTATGTCGTTCCAATAAATTTCTATGAAGAAATAATAATAGATAATTTCAAACAAAAAATCATGGAACTAGTGGAAAGAGGAGAGGTGTGTTTATGTGGTGCGCTAATGGTGGCATCATCATTTACATTGCATATATAAGGTGATCTTGATATTGTGACTGTTTTCTGAAAAGTTTCAGATTTGTTGGCCAAACTGAACTCAGTTTATTTGCTGATTTATATAGGTCCATTGCCTCAGTTTCTTTGCTCCATTGCCTCAGTTTATTTGCTGATTTTATTTTTTACCCTTATACATGCTTCTAACATTCTGGATGAACAATTATTATCCAATAACAGTATTCTTTGAAGTAAAACCATTGTAAATCAGTTGTTTCCAGTTTGCTTATGTTCATAAGGGATTTGCATCTCCATGACCTGCATATGCAAGATTTGGGAGCATTGTGCTACATCCGAGTTTTTCTTCTCTACGGTGTTCTCTCAGAAAAATGATGAAGTACCGAAGAAAATATATGCAGAGCAACGCCGAGGAAGTGCCAGCAATGCTTGATTTATGATGCAAATTTGGAGGTCATCAATCAGCACGCACTCAATCACCATGGAAGCCTGAGAATGACAGGGATGGAGGTACTTCACTGAGTTTTGCTGCAAGAATGTCATTTTTGGTATAACAAGCTAGGTGACAGTGCGATTCCCAGGTTTCAATACTACAAGAATGTCATCCAATGGTTTTCCAGGATGATAACTTAGTATCATAGAACTAGTGTAAATCAAAAAGAACAGTTACCTATTTACAGTCATCATGTACCTGTACTTTTTCAGATTGCTCACTGGTGTAAATTTTGGCATTGTAAACCTTGTTTCTAGAAAAACTAGTATCTTTCAACGAGTTCCATCTTAGAATTTGCACCACAGATCTTAGAATTTGAGTTAAATTTTCTTTGTAAAATATGATGGTACAAGTTGAACATTGGACAAATCAGTACACTAATATTTGAACTAAAATGAAAACCTTAAGTGAACTTCAAATGATGGGAATTTTGGCAAATCTCAGACGAGCTTGAACTGTGGCATGATGCTTCACCTGAGCAGATCTTGGACGAAACGTCTATGCCCAGAACAAGTCAAATTAGCCACTCACAGCTTGAACAATGTCCAGCTAAAAATTGCACTAAAACTTTTCACGCTGCAGGTTAAAACTCACATTCTGACAAATCAGGAAAGGTTTATGTCCATATAGCAAACTCACGTTTTGAACATGAACAAACTGAACTAGACAACGCTGTTTATATACACATTATGAGTAGTAAACCACTAAAAACAATTCGTCATATAGTCATATCTTTCAGAACATGGCTCCACCATTGTTTTCTTGGATTGCATCACACTAAGCTCCATCATGTCTTGGGAGCTTCTTCCACCATCCTGAATTCAAACACAATGTAATTTTGTAATGGTCCACAATGTTATTCTAGCTATTCTACAAATGTTTTTTTCTTACCGGTTTTTAGATCATGACAATACTTCTTATGTTTGCCAATATCTCCCCTGTACTTGGCTCTGACCATGCAGCCGATCTTCTCGCACTTGATACCAGAAGTATTATAAAGGCTTCTGCAGTGGTCTTCGACCTGAAAGTTGTGAGTGTTAAACATATCTTGCGCCACAAATATAGGAGATAGAGATAGGTTTTTTGTTATCTGTTTAAACTACTTTATCTCTTATTCTCTATCTCCTCCTGTAACTCCTTTTGGTTGGCTATCTCCACCGAATCTGTAACCCTCTCGATCTTCCACGATCGCTCTATCAATATATACATGCGGGCTCTCATGTATGAGGGTTGAGACGCTTCTATCATTCTCCACATGGTATACAGAGCAGGCTCTTCCGGTTGCATCTAGCTCGTGCCTCCCACCTCTCGACACCTATCCATCTTCTTCGTCCCCAACCCACACATCTCCTCTCGCCGCCACCCATCCCCTCCACCATGTCTTCCTCAAGCGCTGCCGTCTCCTCCACCCTCAATTACAACACCTCTGAACCACTTACCCGGACGAACTACGTTCTCTGGAAAGCTCAAGCCCGATCCCAGATACTGGGCGCTGGCCTCTATGGCTACATCGACGGCACCACCGTCGAGCCTCCCAAAACCCTTACCACCAAAGACAAAGACGGCAAAGAACAGGTCACTCCCAACCCTGCCCATACCCCCTGGCTCGTCCAGGATCAACAGATCATTGCGTATCTCCCGGGCAACCTGTCCAAGGAAGTTCTCATCCAGGTCGCCTCGCTTGAGTCCTCCCACGCCATCTGGACTGCCTTGGCCACCATGTTCTCCGCCATTTCGCTGTCTCGTGACAACAATCTTCGCGCCGCACTCACCAACACTCAGAAGGGCTCCATGTCCGCCTCTGCCTACTTTGGCCAGATGCGCTCTCTCTCCGACGAGCTCACCGCAGCGGGCAAACCCCTTGGAGAAGGGGAACTCATCTCTTTCATCATCGCAGGGCTTGACATGGACTATCAACCCATCATCTCCGCTCTCGACGTCCGCACCGAGCCCATCACGGTTGATGGCCTCTTCTCCCTCGTGGCAAACTTCGACCAACGCATGGAGATGTTCCATGGCGCTGGCAATGGCGGCTTCAAGTCCTCTGCCAACATCGCCTTGCGGGGCCGTTCTGGTGGGAACGGCGGCTACCGCAAAGGCGGGGGTGGTAGCTCTCGCGGCGGCGGCGGCTACAACGCTACTGCTGGTGGCTCCGGCGGTGGCGCTCCTGAAGGCTACCACATGGCGGGCGGAAACGGCGGCTACCCTAACCCTAATCCTGGTGGCGGCTATGGCTTCCACCAGAACGGCGGGGGTCATCAGGGGGGCTCTGGTGGTGGCGGTGGCCACTTTTCTCAGAACCAGAACCCTTCTGGTGGCGGCGGCTACAACAGGCGAAATAACAGCAACAATCGGCGCCCCTTTCAAGGGTATGAAGGGTATGAAAACAAATGTCAAATATGCAAAAAACAAACCATATTGCAAAAAACTGCGATTGGCGTTACGCCGATGACAAAAATTCCCAGAAAAAGAAAGTTGCAGCTGCAGCCGACGTGTCTTATGGCGTTGACACCAACTGGTACATGGACACGGGTGCCACCAATCACATCACAGGCGAGTTGGACAGGCTGACTATGCATGAGAAATATCGTGGTCATGATCAAGTCTACACTGCGGCAAACGGTGCAGGTATGGAGATAAGTCATGTTGGTCACTCCTTTATCAAAACCCCACACAAAAACCTTGAAATCAATGACATCTTGTATGTTCCTAATGCTTCCAAAACTCTACTATCTGTTCATCGTATTGCTCTTGACAATAATGTGTTTCTAGAGTTTCCCCATTCTTCTTTTTGATCAAGGATCAGGTCACGAAGAAAGTTCTCCATAGGGGTGTCTGTGTTGAAGGCCTCTATGCTTTGCTTCCCAAGTATTGCCAGAACAATAAACAAGTGTATGGTGCCATCAAGCTTTCTGCTGAAAGGTGGCACAATCGCTTAGGTCATCCTTCTTTTTCTACTGTTCATCAGATCCTTAGTAGAAATAAACTCCCAGTTGTTGGTGAGAGAAACTTAGAAACCATTTGTGATTCATGTCAATGAGCAAAAAGTCATCAATTGCCATATCCTGTGTCTACTAGTGTTTTCACTAAGCCTTTACGGCTTATTTTTTCTGATGTGTGGGGTCCTGCCCCCACCTCTGTTGGTAGACACTCTTACTATGTAAGCTTCATTGATGATTACATCAAGTATACATGGCTATATCTCCTTAAGAAACGTGCTGATGTGTTCCAAGTTTTTCACAATTTTCAAGCTCTCGTTGAACGTAAACTTGATAGCAAAATTATCTCTGTCCAGTCGGACTGGGGAGGGGGGGGGGTGAGTATGAGAAACTGAATTCTTTTTTTCAAAAGATAGGTATCTCACATCACGTATCTTGTCCCCATGCGCACCAACAGAATGGCTCTGCTGAA